GCCAACAACCAGCTGTTGGGCACGGCGTGGCAGCCATTTTGATGTAAATGAAGCGACGATTATTTACATCGCCGCTTCACTTTGCTATGTCTACAAAGCTCATCTACATGGCTCCGTCGATGGAGCCATGTAGTGTAGACATACCCAAAGGGTTCTCCTGCCAGCAAAGCAAATGCCACTGGCTCACTTGTAAAGATTTGTGTGGTTGGTAAAAATGCCAACAAACAGCCTTCACGCTACCCAACTTTAAAAGCTGTGTTGCGTAGAGTGTCCTTAGTTGTATCTTTGGCAGCCCCAGAAAAGCGGAGCAAGAGGCTAGAATGGGAATGGACCCGCATGTTCCAGCGCAGAATTCAGATGTCTGTCCTTGGTCACGGGGTGAGCAGGGAGGTTTGGAGGAAGCTGCTGGTTTTTCTTCCCAGGATTATCTGACTCCTACTCTCACTGGCTATAATGCAGCCAGCCTTTAGGTGTGTTTTCAAAGGGCCGCGGTCATTGCTACACATTTCACAATAGAGCTCTGCTCACGTGCACAGACTGGATTCTGTGATGCAGAAATGAATTCATACATCCTGCAATAGACCTTGTTCATGTATTTGGTCAATTGTAACTCAGTTATTGATGTTACGCTGCCATAATGCACTAGTAAGTTGCTGGTATATTTGGGTGGGGGGATGAAAGGAATGAAAGCACTGTACAAAGTGGTGTTGCACTTCTGCTTAGAGGACCGAAGAGACTGCCAACTCTTTCTCAAAGACTATAAAGTGGGTAACTAAGTAAGCACGCGCTTACCCAGGTTCTCAGCCGTTTCCACATGTTTCTGACATAACTTTAGCCCAGGTTTCACTGCACTTATTTTTCTTCCCCAGGCTCCATTCCTCCAATGAGAGCTCCTGGTACTCTGGGCGAGTCATTTTTTGCCTAGACTACATTATTTTTACTCTGAGGCTGATCCACATTTTCACAGTGAGCAGGAATCTAGGACCAAAAATCATTATGCTGCAGAGGATGGTAAGACACGATCAATCATCCATAACATTCTAAATACACGATGTGACAAGCTGTTCTTCTTCGAGTGAAATTCCCCCTATACAGAGGGCTAGTGTGGGGCCCGAGCCCAACAAAAGTCCTCAAAACATGTTCTTCTTCGAGTGAAAGTCCCCCTATACAGAGGGCCAGCGTGGGGCCCGAGCCCAACAAAAGTCCTCAAAACAGGGTTTAATTGAGATTGAAGAGGGACTTGTGTAGTTAGTACAGAGACTCAGAGGGGTAGCTGTGTTATTCTGTATCTTTAAAAACAATGAGTGGTCCTGGCGCACCATAGAGACAAACCAAAATAAATAGGATCATGAGCTTTCGGGGGCAAAACCCACTTCATCAGGTGAGTTGAAGTGGAAATAACAGAATCCAAAAGATATATAACAGCAAAAGCAATTACTTGTCAACTGTAGGACCTGTGTTTAAGACTAATTAAGTGGGTTGGATGTGTCCCGTTTATAGCTTATGTGAAAATGCAGATGTTAAAGGCAGGAGAAATTGGCTTTGTAGTGCATTAACCAGTTAATGTTTTTATTCAAGCCCAGAGTAACAATGTCAAATTTATAAATGAATTCCAGTTCTGCAGACTCTCTCTGTAACTGGGTAATGAAATTTCTTTGTAGAAGAATAGCTCCTTTTAAATCCATGATTGAGTGACCAGGCCGGTTACAATGTTCCCCTACATGTGTGTGTGTGTTACCATTCCTGGTATCTGATTTGTGTCCATTTATGCTTTGTCACAGAGACTTTCTGGTTTGGCCAATAGACATGGCCAGCAATGTAGATTTTGGGGGTCTGATCCAAAACCAATGGGATTTTTCCATTGATCTCATTAGGCTTTGGATTAGGATTTTATAACCACTTAAACTCGGGTGTAACCTCCACGTCTGGATGGAAGCCATCTGAAAACGTGGCTGTACCGTGTTGCCGAGTGACAGGCCTTACACATCTGGCCCCAACCTACTGTTCAAGTCCTGGGAACAAGCGCCTGGGGTCTGATCCAAAACCAATGGGATTTTTCCATTGATCTCATTAGGCTTTGGATTAGGATTTTATAACCACTTAAACTCGGGTGTAACCTCCACGTCTGGATGGAAGCCATCTGAAAACGTGGCTGTACCGTGTTGCCGAGTGACAGGCCTTACACATCTGGCCCCAACCTACTGTTCAAGTCCTGGGAACAAGCGCCTGAGCAC